AAGAGTTTGTGTTTTCTGGAAGACTTGATAATCTTTGCATGTCATTTTGCTCTCTAAAGGTAACACTAACATTTCCACAGTAATAAAGAATTTTGCTAGTAGAAGATTTCAAGCATAAGATTATTCTAATTGAAAAGTGGGCACAGTACAATGATTACATTAGATAATTTGGTGTGATTTGAAGTGTTGAGCATTCTCATTAATGCCACTATGCAAGTGAATCTAGTACATTGTCAACTTATCTGTTAATGTCAGTAATTAGCAAAAGTACTACTGATTGATTAGCATCACAGCCCATATGAAATTAATGTCACTGATGTGTGCATCTTTTACATTAAATGTATTATACAATGTGCTGCAACTTTTCTGTCCGAGTGTTGGACATGTATACAAAAAAATCCTTAGTTGTTGATTACTCTGTGATAATTTTTTGAACAAAAAAATGTTAATCGGTCAAACATTTTTTGTTCCACACTGTGCTTTACCTTTTACAATTGGATTTCTTTTTTTACTTCAATTTTTACTGAAGTCTTTATCATTTCCTAAAAATTGCAAATTTTCAAAACTTCTTAATGTGTCCTTGTCCGGTCTTCACGGATAGAGCCTCTCTATTTCTGAGGGTATAGCTAATGTCTTTACATCTCATCCTCCCCATACCCAGCGTTCAAGGGGACTTCCTGAGGTTTGTTGTGTTCCGATTGGTTTAGTTGTTGAAGGTTGTGGTGCCTGGGCATTTTATTTGTAACCAGCTTAATCTTGAATTTTGAAAGTTGATTTCCTGGTCCAATCTGAATCAATCAGGGAAATAAAAGCGTTTTGGTAAATAATCTCTAGCATATGCTCTGTGAAAGTGCGCTTACACATTAAAGTAGAAAAATAGAGAATAATTCATTCAAAGGATCTCCAATTGACTGAAATATAGAGGGCAATGAATTATTTTATAAATATAAAAAACATGCCTTGGTATTATTTCCGTGATGGATGTGTACCACTTTGGTCTCTCTTCAGGCATTGATAGATGCAACCTCTTCTGGGAACAGTCTACAGGACGAGACAGGGGTAAGAGTGGTTGCCTTGTTTGATCATGAAGAGGTCGGGTCCAATTCAGCACAAGGGGCTGGATCCCCTGTCATGTTAGATTCTCTCTCTCGGATTACAAGTTCCTTTGACCCTGACTCGAAGGTAATGGAAAGTGCTTTAGATTCTAGATGAAACATATAGCCATAAGGTGCTTATTTATTCACTAGTTTTCTTCAATTTTACAATTTCAAAATTTGACCTTTTGCCTTTTGTTTTAATAAATTTTTAAATATTACAAATAACGTATTTGTTGGCCTTGTTGGATTTACTTTCATATCATATGTAGCATTTGCACATAATCCCTTTTGCGTAATAACAAAATGGTACAAGAAACAAATTCCTAATTACTTCATTGGCTCCACATGGCATAGTTTTAATGAATCAGGCAATAAAAAGCAGATTCTTAGGCATAAAGAAAACCTTACAAATAACCCTGTCAAATTTACCATTCTTTCCTATGTTGCTGCATGCCTTGCAGCACAGTGCATTTTATTTTTGAGAGATTTTGTCAATCACATCTAAGGTACTTAGCTCTTCTCATGTTACTATATTCCAGTTAATCACAAAGGCAATCCAGAGGAGTCTTCTAGTATCTGCTGACATGGCACATGCTTTGCATCCCAATTATATGGTAAATTAATTAGTGCTTTAGTTCTGGTTACTTTTAATTATGAAATACTAGTCTTTGTAGTGTTTTGAATTGTTTATCCATTTTCTTTCTTAGGATAAGCATGAAGATAACCATCAACCCAAAATACATGGTGGGCTTGTGATCAAGCATAATGCAAATCAACGGTATGCAACCAATGCTGTCACTTCCTTCATATTCAGGGAGATAGCTGCCCAACACAATCTTCCCATTCAGGTGTGTCATCGAGTATTCTATCTATTTAAAAAAGCACTTGTGAAAAAGAATTATTTCATCACAAAAATTCCTAGATTAAATTGATTGAAGCTTACACTTCTCCATTAAATGACAATAAAAAAACTGCTGCATTGTCCAGCTTTATACAATTTAATCTGTGGCTCATGGACTTTAAACAACCAACTCCCTCAATCCCCATAAAAGAGCCCCATCAAAAATCAATTTCTGTTAAAAAAGGCTTATTTCTCCTAACAACAGAAAAACATGCCCTTGTTCTGCCTTGGTTCGTTGATCATATTGGTGATTTTGACTTGCTTTACTACTCTCTGCACAGGATTTTGTTGTTCGCAACGATGTACCATGCGGTTCAACCATTGGGCCCATATTGGCAAGCGGGGTAGGGATTCGAACTGTGGATGTTGGGGCTCCACAGTTGTCCATGCACAGTATTAGAGAGGTATGCGGCGTGGATGATGTGGATCACTCATACCAGCACTTCAAAGTCTTTCTCCAAGAAGCCTCTCTTCTTGATGCTAAACTCAATGTGGATATGGAAAGTAGTTAATTTGTGCAACTTGAAGGGTGTGTTGGAATTTCTTGATGTTTGAGCAACTTGCCTTGCCGGCCCCACATGCCCCTGCTCTAAAGCTCTTCAACAGCAAATCTAACATAGCGCTCCAAATCCTCCAATGAGTTTTCTTGGTACCTGAAACTCTCTTGATTACGTACGCAGATGACATTTAAATCGTGTTTTTGATCATTTAGGGGTGTCCTCAATAATGATTTTGATGGATTTTTAAGGATTGTGGATGTTATGAATTTAAATGGAATTCAATAGATTCTATGGATTTTATTGTGGAATTCTTTGAATTTCGAAATCATGGAATTATTTGGAGTTTAATGGACTTGAACGGCAAAGGTCTCCTTACTAATCTCTCTCGTTCATCGGCTCTTCTCCCCAATAATTGGGTGACCTTTGTTCATCAAAGATCTGTATAAGCTCATCGTTTGAGCTAGGCATGGACCGCACCCGGCCCAGGATCTGGGAGGGGTCAGGGCGGGACTATGGTTTTGGGATGAAAGCCCGGTATCGGCCCGGGTTGGTACCGGGACCGGGTCAGGTCGGGCTACCCGGCCGGGTCGATCAGGTTGGACTATAAATACTGTAATAACCATAGTGGATGAATGATGATTTGATTTTCTATCCTATCAATCTTTTCTCTATTTTTTTTCTCTTGACATCGACGCTCGGCGCTCGCATATCATCTAGTGAATCCAGCTAATCCTCTCTTCTTGCATCCTCATCACACCATTGGTTGCACAAAACAGTTTCCCCAATGGAAACATGACATGCTTGTTGCACTGGAAATGAAGAACAAAGATCAATTCGTTCTCGGTACTCTGTCATGTCCAATTGTCCACCAGCGCTTCAGATCCTCTTCATGATGCATTCTATCTATGTAACAAAATGATTATGTCATGCCTCACTCGTTCGATGACTACTTCGATTCGGCAATTTGTCATGTGGATTGAATCTGCTTCAGAGATCTGACGTGACTTATGTGATCGATTCTCTCATGGTGACAAGTTTTGAATTGCCGATTTGCAAGAAGAATTACAGAATCGTCGACAAGGTGATCTCAATGTTTCACAATACTTTTCTCATCTGCGAACTCTCTAGAAGGAATTATCCATGTGCATCACAGTTCTTGTCTGTTGACTACTCACTAAGGGAATGAAAAAATGTATCTTTTTATGGCAAGTCTTTCTAAACTATTATAACATTTGTTCTATGTTATGATCCACATCCTTGAACTGAGATGAAATTAAACGTGTGACCTCCCCTTTGAAAACGTCACAGTGATGTCATCAGAGCACAAAGTATTTTGCACAAAACTATATTTAATAACTAGGAGTCTAGGACACATGATGATGAGTCTACAGAACTTTAGAGCATGACAAATAACATGCATTCATGTGTCAATTCAACTAAAAAAAATAGATAACAAGCTTGCAATAAAATGAAAATATCCCAATAACTATAATTAATAGATAACAAAGAAACAAGTGAATAAATAGTTTAAGATTATAATAAGACGAGACATAGAACGGAAATATTCCAATAACTATCTAAATAAATCTTTACTTGAAAGAAGATAATATATTGAGAGAAGAGAAGGAAGGCTGCTAGAGTTAACCCCATCTTATATCATACTTTTCCTAAAAAAATATTTGTAATAATGTTATAGGAAAATATTATAGCTTATACTACTTCATCGACTAAACGAGTCTGGGCCGGTAAAAATATTTCCCTAACGTAGGATGTTTTCAATTCATTTGAAATTTTCTTATATGGTCTTGTAGTAGATGTCTAATTTATATGTATTTTATAATTGTTGAGTCTAATCATTTAGGAGTATGATTTAGTCTATTTAAATCTAATCAAAGATTCAAACCAATCCAATAAAAACATCTTATAACATTCTATGGTTATTGTAAAAAAAACATTCTATGGTTGACCCCAAGTCCAACTCTAAGAGCCCGTTTGGTAACAATGATGTTGACTAGATCGGCTGATTCTGCTGATTTATGAAAAAATTATATTTAAAATATTTGTTATTAATAAATACAATAAAAAATTATATGAAAAAATAGCTAAAATGATCCTTTCCAGTAATTTTAGTCAATACAACAAGAAAAGTGACTCCAATCTTATTTTTTCTTATTATTACACTACTAAACGCGCGAAATCAAAAGTTACGTATTTGATGAAAAACTTAAAAGGTCATCGAATGTGATCTAATTCTTACTACACGGTAATAATGACATTATACACAATTGCAAATCAACAATCTTGATGTACTCACTCTTATACCCACCATATTTTGTTTGTGCAAAATATTGTTTGTGAATCGATGTTCACAGACAAAAGAAAAGTTTTCATGAACATGAATGTGTACAAAAGTGGATAGAAACTGTTCGACCGTTCATGAGTGTTCACATCAACACCTAAAAAATCCGACCTTTTTGTTTTGTCGAAACTGCACCGTTTTGGTTATATTAGAAAAATCAAAACTTCGTCGTTCTTAGCAAAACCATTCATCGGTCCTCCTCCTCCGGACCTCCAATCCTCCACCTCACGAGTTGCAACCGCCGCAGTCCTCCGTCGTTCTGTCGTCACGTTCCAGTCGCAACCATCGCGATTTCCATCCAGTCTCAATTCGCTCCAGCCTCCGGTCTCGCGACTTCCAGTGGTTCCAGTCGGCACCAGTCCAGCATCCTGAATCCACTCAATCTACGGCTCCATCGTTGCACAGCCTCAACTTGACCACGCCTGACGCCTCCACTCTTTTGTGTTTGACAAAACGCCTCCAGTCTTGGTAATGGGTTAGTCCCCCCTTTCTCAAATTACAACCTAATTTTTGCAAGCCTAATCTGAAATTCGCAGAGACGTTTCCTAATTCCCAGTGCTTGCCTTCAGATTAGACCTGGAATCCGCTTGAATATCTCAACTGTGAATGTGGGCAGTATAAATTCTCCTAATGTTCATCGCAAAAAAAATCTCCTAATGTTTGGTTCGATTTATCGGTGTTTTACACTTTTACTCAACTTTTTCTTAGTTTAATGGTGTGGCAGTAAGCTTTTTTGCTTATTTTATTTGTTGGTGTGGCAGTTTGTTTTGTTGTACAATTTTTTTTGTGTTAAAAGAACAGATTTGTTAAGGAAAAAACTACTTTTATATTGAAAGAACAATCTGTTGCAGATTTTTATGTATATCATGGTAAATTATAATGGTCAAAGAGACTATGGAGCACGTTCATTTTGCTAGAAAGATAGTATATTAAAGTATCTGCATTATACCTTTGAATAGGATCGATTACATTAAAAAGTCTGTTTTTGTGTAATAGGCAATAAATATTTATAGAGAGATGCTGGGTTGCTGCCTTGCAAAAAGTGATCATCTTTAGTTCTACTTATACTGAGCTGATTTCTCCTCCCATTCTTTGACCACGGGTAGTAGATAACAACAACAATGCGAATAATACTAGCATTATTATCGTTATTAGCAACCCCTCCGCTTAGTAAAAAATGGTAAAAATGCCCCAAAAGTTTAAATGGAGCAAATATTAATAAACTTCCTTAAAAGAAATATGGAGCAACTAAAAAAGAATGAAGTTACGGAGGGAGAAATAATAATGTTTCGGGGACCCAAAGTAGCTATATTTGGTGCTACAGATAGGGTTTCACAGTACATACTTCACTATACAACTGTAGATTTTATTGGAAACAAGAAAAACTGAAAATTATTTTATTGGAAACAAATTGCCTTATCTAATTTCGTTGTGGCCCAAGTATTGTGTTTTTCTGTTAATAGCAGCTTCCATCATGTAGAAAGGGAGCTGCAATCATTACTATTACTATCACATAGTAGTAGTTGCCTATGGCCTTATGTAATTTATTGGAAACAAGAAAAACTAAAAATTAAATCAAGTCATGAACATTGCACAGATACTTTAGCAATCAGCACTGTTACGTCTTTTGCTGAGAGCCTACCCATATTTTTCTTAATGTTTCTTAAATTAGGTTTGGTGAGATAATTGGCAAAGGGAACTGCATTATCATTTTGAAGATATACCTATTCATTTTTGGGTAAAACCTGGTACAATGCAAACACCTCAATCCGTACCAGTAACCCAAAGCCAGCCGGCACCACCCAATCTTCTTCGTGGGCCCCAGTCTCACTTCCCAGGTCACTTCCAGCTGTCCAACCCCCAAGCATTAGCATCAGCTCAGGGGGGACCTTCCCAGTCCCACTTGCCACCTCACCACCACTTACAAAGTTCTAGAGGTATCTCCACTAATGTGGGTGCCGGGGTCTCTTCTCCCGTTTCCAAAAGGGTTCCCCCTAGGCAGCACTCCCGGCCAACCGGTCAGGGCCAGGCGACCGGTCCGATGTTGAAGACCATGGAACTGGCCCCTGCCGCACGAAAAAGGAAAAGGAAGCTTCCAGAAAAGCACATACCTGAGAAAGTGGCCTCTCTTTTTCCTGAGTCTGCACTTTACACTGAATTACTTGAGTTGGAGTCTCGTTTGGATGCTTCCCTTATGCGAATGAAGACTACCCTTTCAGAATCTCTGAAGAACCCTCAGTGTGTACAGAAAACACTCAGAATATACGTATTCAACACCTTCTCTGATCAAACATGGTCACTCAGGATATTTGGGAGGATACTGAACAACCAAACCTCTTCAGAACCCAAATTTTCATCTTTCTTCAAGAAAATCACTGTATATCTTGACCAAAATCTGTATACGGATAATCATGTGATTCTGTGGGAGGGTTCCCGGTCGCCGGTTCTCCATGATGGTTTTGAGGTGAGCAGGAAAGGGAACAAAGAGTTCACTGCAATAATCAGACTGGAAATGAACCATGTGCCGGAGAAGTATAAACTCTCGCCGGCTTTACAAGAAATTCTTGGAATTGAAGTGGAGACACGGGCAAGAATATTAGGTGCTGTTTGGCAGTATGTGAAAGCGAAGAAGCTTCAGATTTCCGATGAGACTTCTTCTTTTTTGTGTGATCCACCTCTAAAGAAGGTTTTCGGGGAAGAGAAGGTAAAGTTCTGCGCAGTAAGTCAAAAGATTGATCCACATTTGACCATTCCACAGCCAATACATTTAGAGCATAAGGTCAAGCTTTCTGGGGATAGTCCTAGTGGGAGTGCTTGTTATGACGTACTAGTTGATGTCCCCATTACATCACAGAAAGAAATTTCGACTTTCTTGGAGAGTTTGGGGAAGAACATGGAGATTGATGTTTATGATGATGCTATTTCCGCCGCCATAAGGAAATTAAATGAGCATAAAAAAAGGCGGGCATTTTTTCTTGGATTCAGTCAATCTCCTGCTGAGTTCATCAATGCACTTATTGCCTCTCAAGCCAGGGATTTGAAGCTTGTTTCTGGGGATTCAGTCCGTGATGAAGAAAACGAGAGGCGGTCAGGATTCTACCATCAGTCTTGGTAAGTTTCTTTGCTCTTAGGCATATAAGCGTATTACTATACTTTAGAGCTATGAACTTTTTGTGTCTTCAACTCTGGGCCCCCGTTTGGTTCCTGAAAAATACTAGGGAAAGAAAATAGGGAGGAATATATGTAGAAAAATTGGAAGGAAAGAAAATGTCAGGGGAATGAAGGATATGTTTTAATTCAATAAAGGTATTTTACACATTCATAAGCTAAGAGATCTAAACTATATTGGGAAAAAGCAAAATAATCATATTTCAATTCCCATTTGCATTGTCCAAGTTAAAAAAATCAACTTTTTTGGCCCTTTCCCTTTTCTACAGTATTTTCCAGGGTTGAAACATACCTCAGGGCTTTTTATGGTGTAAAATAACTATGGATATCGCTATAGTTTAAAAGTGCAATTGACACAAAATAAGCTTATATATGTATGGTGATATATGTCTTAATAATAGTAAATGCAAAATAAAGCCTCATTTAATCTGACCGTCGCTCGTGACCTGACTGTTGGGTATGCCATATATAGGATTGAAGATGCAGTCATACGATACCTGAATCGCAAGGCTCCTGCTGGACAATGACATTACCCTTGGCGGGACAACAGCGATCATTATATAATTTCTTCACTTCTTTTGTAGGTTGATCTTAGGTGCAAGTGGTAGAAAGATTCTCTTTTTTTTGGATGAAGGTAGAAAGATTCTCTTGTTACTACTAGTGGTGGAGACCTTTTCCAGGGGTTTTGCCATTTTAGGTACCAGTTCTTTTTACCATGTATGTTGATGATATCAAAGCTTCACTTTGTTTTTATGGGTTCAAATCCATCCCAAGTGTGTATCTAAATGATACAAATTTTCATTTTGTTTCTGTTGGTACCAATGGTTCATGAGAATGTATCATCATCCATTGGTACCAAATCTGGTTATCCGCCAACTTTTTGACTGGAAAAGAATTAGGAATGCCGTTTTATTACTTTCATTTTTGCCTAACGTCTCTATTTGCGGAATAACTTGAAGGTCTGGCATTAATTGCCTAACATAGTCCAGAAGAGCCAATACCCTACTTTTTTCTTCACAAAACAACATTGGATTCTTATCTATTTGATTGATCACTCTGTTTAACGAAGGACAACATGCATGCAATATTGCAATCCCATTTAGGTTCTTTGAACGTCGTTTGGTAATTGGTACGGTTCGGTTCGAACCCCACCGAGGGGTAACGATGTGAATCTGCCTTGTACACTAAGGAGTAAGGATGTTTTTCATTGGATTTATTTCACAGACCAGGTCAGACCAGACTTAAATAGACCAGATCAAATTAGATTGGAGTTTGACGGTTGTAAAATACATGGAGACCATACTAGTTCAGACCAGATTAGACCCGATTGTATTAGAGCAAACTAGACCAGACCACAGATCTTCAGCCCAAATAATAACATCCTAAAACTAGTACGGAGTAATGATAACTCATCTAATAAACATGGCCTTGACCGGTTGGGACATATCCAATATTTTCGGTCCTGAGTATTAATTGACATGCCATTTTTTTTTGAAAAAATCTAATATAATTTTACCCAAGTATGTTATATAATAAAAGAGCGCTAAAATCAAACTAGGTCTAAGGTTCAAGAACATCTCCTTTCGTCCCATAAAATTTTCACAGTTTGATTGGGATCGGAGTTCAAGAAAAGTGAAAATAAAGTAAAAATTTATGGATTTGATCGAGTAAGAAAAAGATATATGAATGTTAGTTACACAAAACTTTACAAAATGGGATACGAGAAGAAATTTGTGGGACACCTCAAAATGATAAGTGAGAAGAAATTTATGGGCGAAGTGAATAATTAAATAAGGTCATTTAATAAATGGTGATAATGATATCGTGGAATGTGTGATGTTTTAAAATTCGACGGGAAATATCCACATCGGAAATGCTACTTGTACACAAAGGCAATTGACGTGTTGGCACACGCAATTGCCTATGGGCACATACAATAGTTGTCTGTGCATAGACAACTCTTGTATGTTTTCATAAAAATTAATTTCCATGTCAAAAAGTACATTGACAACCGCTTGACAGTGACGTTAGCGTGCAAATCAATCTTTATGTGTGCATTGCTTATGGGTACATGCACTGGTTGTGCAGCTCATAGGCAATAATTGTCAGTGTGATCATTTTTAGTTGTTTGTGTTCACATATATTTTATCACACGGACAATAATTGTGTTGCTCATAAACAATAGTTTTCTATGTGATCTAAATGCATCCAAGTGAATGATGTTGTATGTATGATATGATCAATTTACATGTAATTTTAAAAAGTTGAAAAAATAATAAAAAAAGATGGAAATAGTTACATAGGCTGATTTTATGCAAGTAATGAAAAAATTTAGGTATAAAAGAATAGAGAAGAGATAAATGGGGAAGAGAGAAGGAGGAGGATAAAGAAGAGAAGAAGATGAAGTATTCTTCTTTTGGATATTTGAATGGGCCGGCGGAGGAAGTGAGAGAGATGGAAGAGAGAAGCGAGAGGAGGAAAAAAAATGAGAGAATAGACCCGATACTGTTTAGAACCGGCGGGGCCCAGGAAATCGGTTCCGGTTCCGGTTCAGGCCTAAGCCCGAGGGGTTAGGCGGTTCCGGTTCACGGTTCAAGCAAAAGGTGAACCGGCCTGGTCCAGTTCAGCCCTTTTTTATTTTTTATTTGTTTTTTTGGGTTTGGGCTGGGTTTAGTTGGGCTGGGCTGGGTATTTCTGAGGGATTTGTGGGGTGGGGGGAGATGGGGTGGGGGATGAAATAAATAAGAAATAAAAAAAAAATTGAACCGTAACCGGCCGGATCCGGAACCGCCGTCTACCCGGGCCGGTTCTGGTTCACCCTTTCCCAAAAAAAGGTCCGGGCGGGCCTAGGCCCGAACCGGAACCGGCCTGGCCCGGTTTCATCCTTGGTGCAAAGAGTGTAAACCTCTTGTGTTTAAATGTCATTTTCCTATCCACATACGCAAGGAGATAAAAAAAGGCGCCCATACCTTGGATTCAGTTATACGAGCGAGGCATATTAAATTATTCTTGACTTCTCGACTTGGGGAGCGGCGAAGGGTAAAAAGGTGCCTCCCATATTCTCTTCTTCTCAATCATTTTTTCTTCCAAAAGATGAAAATTATCTCCTTCATAAGTATTTTCAAGTTATTTTACGTGGTTTCTTCCTAGTGATGTCTAGGGTTTATGTATTCATCATCGATGGAATCGATCAGGCGTTAGTATCAGACATCAGTGACTTCAATACCTAATTATTCACTATCCTCTTGAACCACTGTCATGCTATGAGAGAACAATAGTTCTCAATTGGATTTGCTTTTTGGTGGCTGGTCAAACTGATGACATTTGCAATTTATTCCTAGTAGCTGGTCAAACTGAGAATTCTAGTTGTTCCCTTCTGGTGGCTGGACAAACGAGATTTTCTATTATCTCCTTATTGGTGGGTGATGAAACCAATCTATATGTTTGTTTTTATTCTAGAGTAAATTTAGTACTTTTTCTAGTCTTTATGATTGGTTAAGTAGCATGAGCTTCTATGTTGATAGAGAAGACTACATTTTTTAGGATTAGCTAATTGTTATGTTTGCTTTGGTATTGATGTTTCTCTTTCGAAAAATTAGTATTGATAAAAATTGTCTATGCGAATAAATGAACTGAAAATTTTGTAAATATCTCTAAAATTATGCCTCTAATAAAAAGTGTTTGCGCACAAGCATCGAGTTGCGTGTCCTTTTTTGAAGAGGCATCAATTTCTATGACACATAAAGCAGTATTCATGTAGAGACATAATTGTCTATGACAAAGAAAAAAGCTTAGCGCATAGTAAAAATGTAGAAGTATAAACATTTTTATGTGTCGCATACAATTAGTCTAGTACACATACATCACCTTTTTTGTGCCACAAACACTTACATCTATGCAAAAAATCAAGCAATCTAATTTGTGCATGCAAATATTTTTATGTATGGTCTAACTATACACACATTTATTAGTTTTTTAGTTTTATTCAATCATATAGACAAATTCATTAGCATTTAATATGGCACAAACAATTTATATTGATGATACAAACTGTTGAGGTTAAGTACCGAATGACCCGAAGACCCAACACCAACCTTGGATCTAGGGTAAAAAATTGCTACAGTAACGTGTATAAAAAAATATAAAAACTGATAAATTCACTCAAATAGTCTTGCCTGTATTAACACAGTAATAGTGATTACACGGAAATGGCCGAACGGTAGTTACGGTCCAAAAGCTAATACAAGAGCTAGAATGTAATATAAGATTGTGAGTAAACAAATGATAACCCCTACAAATGAATTAAATGGTGCTATTTATACTATATGGAGGTATGGGGTGCTCCAATATGATTGGTTGCCTCCCATGCCATTTAATACCCCCATGATCCAGCATTAACTGTAGTCGGTTACTTGAGCAACTCTCATTCGAGATTAAGCCCAGCTAAGTCATCAATCAAGAATGAGCTAATCACCAAAGTGTTAATCATATCCCGTTCGGGATGTGCCGAACGGGTCTTGCCGTTCAGGCCTGGTGATTTTCCCTGGACCTTTCCTTGCGTCTGGGCTTCAGGGATATTTTGGGCCGCCGTTTTGGGCCGGACCTTAATATCCCCCCCCCCCCCCCACATCCGATGTTCTGAGCGTGCTCGGGACATAAGGAAGTAAAAAAAGTGATCTTTCCACCGTTCGGTGTGACCCCGTTCGTGCTCCTTGCTAGTGTTTGCCTGCTCACGACATGACGGTTCGAAGCTTTTTGGCGGCTGTCGCTTCTATTCCCTATGTAACCGTCATGATTACTACGTTTCACCTCCGTTCGACATGTGTCCCTTGGAGCGTCCCTTGCTACGTGTCCGCCTGGGATTGGTCCGTGAATCGGCGCTTTTTGGTATAAGTATGAATTTGGGCCCTTGGCCCCGGGTTTCCGGATTTTGCACCCCTTCGCTCAATTGCCCTGTCTTCTCCAGAAATCCCTAATTTTTATTCATCGCTCACGTATTCGCCGGTTTTCCTTCCCTTCTTCCTTTTTCCCTACTTCTTTTTCCAGTTCGGTGCGAAATTTTCAGAGCGTATTTCTTCTGGTCCTTCGGTCATCGAGACACTTTGTGGTTTAGAGGAGGGTACCCAGACAAATGATACTGCGGGCACCAGAGGTACCGCAGAGGATACGGCCAGAGCTTCTCCTCCCGTTGATGGTTCAGAGGAGGCCACTTCTAGTGATTCCTCTGAAAGTGCATCCAATAGCGATTCTGACGATGCAATATCCGGGGATGATATGACAGTGATGAGAACAGGCCCTCCTGATGATGCCCCTCGTCACCATTTGGACTTGAGGCCCATTCGAAATCGGAGAAAAAAGTTGTCCAATAAACTTAGGGCTCAAGTTTCTGGCCTCATTCCTGATCCCGTTGACTTTCGCCTTCACGCCGGTCTCCACCCCCTGCGCCACCGTCCTCAAATGGTGGTGGTCAGGCCGAGTTTAGATCTTTTGAAGACTTTAACAAAGCTTGCTCGACCGACAGCCCCGGGAGGCGAAAGTCATTCAGGTCAGCAGTAGTACTCCAGATCCGGAGGAGGGGGCATCCGGATTGCTCCATAACTTCATGAATAGGATCCTCCAAAGAAATCTGCTTCACAAGCTTGGCTAGCTCCGCTTGAATGGCATCTAGATTGGAAGCCCCAGCCGTACCAGGGAGATCGTTGAAAAGGGGATCAGTGTGGGCAGCCTCAAAATGCGGCTTGACCTCCATTTGATCCAAATTCACCTAATCAACAGGCACCTGCTGGATGGGCTCGGCTTCCTGAGCCACCGGCTGGGAGGGCTGCTGGTAACTGTGGATTTGTCCACTGTCCGGGCTGCTGCTCAGGCCGAGTTTAGATCTTCTGAAGACTTTAACAAAGCCTCTGAAGAGTACGGGATGGCCCACGTAGGCA